CTGACCAAGGCATTTGACTTAGTTTGGGTGGATGGCCTACTCAAAAAAGTACATGGACTAGGGGTAACAGGACGAATGTTCCACTGGATCGAAGATTTTCTAAGCGATAGACAAATACAAGTTAATGTAGGTCTCTCAATAAGCAACAAATACGAACTGGAAAATGGCACACCCCAGTGTTTTGTTATAAGCCCGACATTCTTTAATATCATGATTAATGACCTTCAGTCTAATAAATACATTAAGAAACTTATTGACGTAGCGGTTTATGCAGACGACAGTTCAATCTGGCATGTAGCGAATAACTACGGTAAGGTTAGAACGAGAATGCAAGAAGCCTTAGACAAATTGTCGAAATGGTCTAATAACTGGGGATTTCGTATATCTGAAAGTAAAACAGTAGGCATGCTCTTCTGTAGGGATCATAGGGAAGTATCATCTATGAAACTGGAATTGAACAATAGCCAAATTAAATTTAAAGATCAGGCAAAGCTTTTTGGGGTGACCTTTGATCGCAAAATGACTTTTATACCACATATTGAAAATATTGTTAAATTAAATGAGGGCAGAAAGTTCTGAACGTAATGAGATGTCTGACGGGAATATCATGGGGAGCAAATAAAACGACCCTGCTAATGATATATAGGTCCATGATAAGATCAATATGTGACTATGGTTGTGTCGCTTTTGCAAGTGCAAATAAAACAGCTCTTGCTAAACTAGGCCGTTTACAATATCAGGGAATAAAGATAGCAACGAAAGCTTCATTTGGCACAAAAAAGATTACTGACAAGGTATTTTCGTACCAAGCCTCATGGACTTTTTTAAATCCAAACTATGACATAAGCCTAGGTAACGTTGTCAAGAAAAAAGAAAATCCACAACAAGCTCTATTGCTATCGGGGGAATTCTTGAACGAAAAATTGTCTTCGCATGTGAAAATATACACGGACGGGTCTCACGATCCAAACACTCCCAAAACTGCATTAGGTGTGGTCATTCCCGAATTTAATATTAATATATCGAAAAAGCTACCAGATGGATGCTCTATATATACAGCAGAACTAAAGGCAATATCCACAGCCCTTGAATGGCTCGTGTCATCCACCGTTCAAAGAGCAGTCATTGTGTCAGACTCCCTTAGCAGCATAAAGTCAATAATACGTGACAAAAAAACACCTAGACCAGAAATTGTTCAGAATATTCGAGCAAGTGTTTATTCCCTCAGAAACAAAAATAAAACCGTAGAATTTACATTGGTACCATCCCATGTAGGCATAGCAGGAAATGAGTCAGAAGACAATCTGGCTCGCAATTAAATCACAATGGAAAATTGAGTTGGCCATAGCAAATACTTTTAGATTCAATTTAAACAACGATCTGGTTGTAAAGACGGAGATTAATCACCCATCGCGCAGAATTTGTGGGTTAATCACAAGATTGAGAACTAAGGATTTAATTACCGACCATAAATTTAACCCAGTCATGTGCGAATGTGGCCACAATTCGACCGTTAATCATGTTATCATTACGTGCAATAAATTGGAAAAGAAAAGACTCCCCGTACGAAGTTTAATGGAAAATGCCAAACTTTAATATACCCTCCAAGATGTACTCTTCCCCTCTCGGAATAAGTAAAATTTATGAAGCTAACTCAAAATTCATAGCAGAATCGGGAATTAACTGTTAAAGAAGATAACTGGTTGTGTAGACCAGGTTGGCCCCTAAGCCATCTGGATGCTTTAATAATTAACGTTAAAAATGAAATGAAATGGAGTTTAACGTCCTACTGTTCTGCTCCTAACCTGGGCTAATGAAGACGGAATTAACGTTAAGATAGGGAACTACATATCTAGTTACAAAAAAAGAACTATTGTTGTAGGACACTATGGCGGTTCAGTCTACTGCATGATTTAATATAATAATATACAGGGAAAAAATAATGACAAAATAAAGGAATAGGGACCTACACAACCATTATTAACAATGACAGTGCACATCAATCAATTTAATTTAACCTGTGTTTAAAAATTAACTTATTCCTATAAATGGTTCAATTTGTCTTATTGTTTACTTGTGTGTGTGTGTATTGCTGCTGGCTCTTATTTCTCTTTTCAGGTAACTTTTTATCTGTGGAGAGCCATACGCAAGGAAAACTCTAATGGAATGCTTACAACTTTTAAACTTTGAAGTCTTGAACTTTTAGTTAATTTTTAACTACAACGAACACTTTTAATATGTAAATAATCTACGGGTCCAGGTATATGGTTTTTACTGCGAGCACTTCGCTTTTGCACATAAAGCCAGCGGATTCTTTTTGCCCACGGGGTTTTTTCAATCCGCCCTGATGACGCCAAACATCAGTCAGTTGGACCTCCTGTTTTAACATTATTATGACAAAAGGAGAAGATGACCCGCCCTCTCTTCTCACGACAGCGAATTTATAAGTGTGCTTTAAGAAACTTTGGAATCCGAGGACATTTTTTTATTTTGTGTTTTTAACAATTTTCAAGTGTAAATAATTTAATTAAATCAACCTGTCCATAATATCATATTGATTGTATTGGACGTTTTAAAAATCTGTAATAAACAACAACAACATGAGATTCTCATAATATACTTTACCAACGATTAAAACAGCTGTCTTCTTGTCAAGAAGTTAATGTATTATTTCTATATGTACTCATTTGTTCTCTATTTTGGAAATTGAATTTGTTCGTTTATATAATTATTCGCCTTTAGTTTATCTAGTTTTATATATTAATTATTACGTTCTCGTTCGAATGTTGCGATAAGTATGCACGGTTTTATTTTTTCTGCAAAAGCAATTAAATCGATATTATAGATGTCGTAGAGTAATCCATACACGCCTTTGCATATAAGCTTGTGCTGCAAGTAATAGTCAACAGTATAGTTTAATAATTAATAGTGTCGACATTCCATTTCATTATTATTATTGTCGACACAAACAATTATGACGTAATATATGAAGACATGTAAATAGTGCCTCTTCACATGCCGTAGACTGGAATAGCAAGCCCGCTTCTACAGCACTTGATATCCGTGTCTACGTATCCCAAATAATTAAGAAACCCCAAAAATCAGACTTGCACATCACTCTGCATAGCGTATGCCTATCTTCAATAGTCCGATTGATGCAGAAAAGCAGGAAAATGAAATGCCCTACTGTTCTGCTTCGGGAGCCACGGTAGCTAAGTGAGTAAGACGATGGTCCGCTAGCCTGAAGGTCACGGGTTCGCTCCCGGTGCTGTCCGAGAAACTTCATCGAGATTTTCCGGCGTGGTTTCCCCTTGTCAGAGGAGCAGGAAGGAGGGCCTGCCAAGGACAGTTGTCTAGACATTTGGATGAGACGAAAAACCAAGCTCACGTGTATACATTGGCGTGCATGTAATTTGATATAAGAGTAGACCAGATGTTTACACTTTTTGCGTACAAGGGGCGGCCATTTTGTTCGACAGTTTTGGTCCGATTTTCACCATCATTAGGGTGTAACAGTGATAAACTAAAACGTTTTTTGTAAATCGGATAAAAATTGTGATCTCTAGAGGGACCACAAGTTACCATAATTCAGGAAGTTACGATCCGATATGCGCGAATGTCGAAAGGAAACAAGATATTTGGGTTATAAACATGCATGTCAAGTTTCATCAAAATCGGATCAAAATTGTAACCTCTAGATTGTCCACAAGCTAGAAACCCGATTTTTCGTACAATCGGGCGCCATAATCCAGGAAGTTACGATCCGATATGCGCCCCTATCAAAAGGAACCGAGATCTTTGATGGGTGGTAAACATCTAACTTTCATCAGAATTGGATAAAAATTGTGACCTCTAGTGCATACAATCAGAGGTCATAATCCACGAAGTTACGACCGATACAGCCCATATCGAAAGGAACCGAGACGTTTGGGATATAAACCTTTATTTCAAGTTTCGTCAAAATCAGATAAAAATTTTGACTTGTAGAGTGTCCACAACAAATGTGGACGAACAGACAGATAGACAGACATACGGACAGACGGACGGACGAACAGGGGTAACGACAGTATACGTCCACATGAAAATGAGGGCGTATAAAAATCAATAGGGTTCACCCTCTTATTGTCTCAAAGCTTCACACTGAATTTGAAAATCTTATTCAAGATTTACTGTTATAATTTAGTATGTCATACACATGCTGACAAAGGCCCAGTTTTTAAAAAAGTGTCTTTATTGCATAGGTTTAAGGAACTTGTCCTTATTGCGTATTTTTAGGGGAAGTTGCTCATATTGGGGAATAAGGTCTGATGGACACCAAAATCTTTTGATCCATGACATATAGTTTCATCTGAATTGGACAAAAATTGTGGCCTCTGGAGGGTCTACAAACTTTGTACTTATTTCACATTTTGTATAAAATGTAGGGGGTATAACTCCAGAACGGAAGGTCCGATGTGCACCAAATTCGGACTTATCCAAGAACTTTTGGTCCTTAATACATATTTGTAGTTTCACCTAATGTCGTCACTGAGTGTCCCCAAGCATGGTACGTATTTTACATTTTGCATAAAAGACAAGGTTGGTCTGATGCACACCAAAATCGAACTCACCCAAGATCTTTTGATCTCTAACAAACATTTTAAGTTTCATATGATTCGGACAAAAAATGTGACCTCTGGTGGGTCCACAAAGTTTGCACAATTTGCGTTAAAGACAGGGGGCATAACTCCAGAACGAAAGGTCCAATGCATACTAAAATCATACTCATCCAAGAGGTTATATGTTAAATTTCAGCTAAACCAGACATGGAATTTAAATTTCAGCTAAATCGATCAGAAATGTATTGCATAACGGGGAGAGGACATTTTTACGGGAAAATCAGTTAGTAATTGTGACTTGTAGAATGTCCACAAGAAAATGTGAACGGAGGAACAGCGTATAAAAACTGTAGCCTCTATCACATTTCAATGTGTGGGTATTAAAATGCCCAACATTCAGACCTTTGTAATTCTTCCTCTCTACGTATTCTTTCTTCCTCTTCTCGTAATTCTCTCTGTCTTCTCTCAGCTGCTTCTCTTTCTAATATCAATCTCTGCATTGCTTCTTCTTCGGCCTATTAAATATATTAACTTATTTATTTAATACTACAGTTTCACTTCAGGTGGAGTTTAATGGCTGTGAGCATTAAAGTAAACCTGTCTTCATTAGCGCAGTCGGTGCAGAAAAGTAGGAGGTCAAACCCCATTTTATTTTTTTTCATAAAGAGGGGCTTATGTCGACCTTGCAACTGACGTTTCGGCAACTGGAAGCAGCTAGAAAAGGTCAACCTGAGGCATCTAGTTGCAGTCAGTTGCAACTCGCTACAACTAGCATCAACTAGTTGCAGTCGACATGAGTATCACAGAGTAAAAATACACAGAGTGGCGACTCGCATTACGGCCAATAGAAACACTGCGAACACACACTGACAGTTCGCTCAACGACGAACACACACTAACAGTTCGCTCAACGACGTTACGATATCTATATCGTTGAACTAAATCTCTTTAATTTCGTAGTTTTATAGTATTTTCGGTAACAAAACTACTGAGAATTATCACATACAATCATAATATGTTTGTTGTGTGTGTGTGTTTCGGGAATTTATAAAACACGATTCATATTTTTAAAACATGCATAAAGCGTGGTACGGACTGAGATGAGAGACGGCATTTGTGACGGTTTACGAATTGGTCTATTTAAGGCCGTAAATTATTGTCGATTTTTAAGAGGTTTTATTAACTTTGAAACTATTCCACCAAATACTCGTTGTTTCCATTCCTAGATTTGAAATGTAATTTCCATACACCTTAAAATGGGCCATTTGAAAATGTCGAAATGCCACGCCCTTTTTTGGATAAAGCCTATTTTACTCAACATCAACATGATTTACCTTTGTCTTCTAGAGCTTATTACTGTGTGATTTTTTTTATTTATGTTATGTTAATAAAGTAAGCTTTCATTAAAATATAAAAAAATAATTTAAGAATATTAAAATCGAATTTCAAATAGGCATGATTTATTTTTTCTCCCAAAGAAAAATTCCTTTGTCTTCTAGAGCTTATTACTGTGTGCTTCTCGTATTTATGTTATGTTAATAAAGTAAACTTTCATTAAAATATAAAATAATAATTTACGAATATTGAAATTAAATTTCAAATAGGCATATAACGTTTTCCAATAAACAGATTTGAGCCGTTGGTTGTTTTCCAAGATAAAATACCTTTGGCTCCAACGTTGACTCACCGTGTGCTTTTATGATTTTTGTTCTATTAATTAATGTAGGCTTTTATCTTTAAAAAATAAAATAATTAAAAGATATTAAAATTCTATTTAAATAGGCCTACACGTATAACATTTTTCAATAAACATTATTTGGGTTGATTGGTTTCTCTTTTTACAAACAAGTATAAACCAAAAACAACTTGAGAATGAATATTTTGCATATTGCTCTGGGTGTCATGTAATGTTTTGACGGCCTTTATCGGCCCCCTAATGAAATTGTCCATTTTACACTACTGCACAAGAACATATTAAATTATTATAAATCTGAAGTTTGCTCTAGATATCCATGCCATTAGGTCTGATCTGTGTTCAGAGTTACTTTTATTTTTGTGATTTTTTTTGTCAACTGATAATTTAGAAAATATAAAATTTAATTTATACTGTGTACTATTATCGAATTATCTGCCATACAAACTGAAGTTAACCATACAGCATTCTGATACTATATAGATAATCACAGAGTAAATTAAAAATATTTTGAATTAATGAATGGTTTAAAATTAGTGATAGTGCTTCAGTAAATATTTTATTGGTCGGATTAAGGCCTACCAGTAAAAGGGGAAATGTGATTTTGAACAGCATAACAGTATTAGGCTTACTGTTTTATTAAAAGCTTATTGCAACTGAAAATTGAGCAAAATAATATTGGAAAGGTATATAAATATAACATACCATAAACGTAAGACTTTAATTGTTTACCACAAGTAATTGTAGGCCTACATAGAATCACATTTTGCGATACACAATCTTAGAAAGAAAAAATTAGGCTTGTCCATTATCCTTTTGTCAGAATACAACAGATTCTTCAGAAAATATAGTTAGTTCCCTCGCACAAGATTTTTTTTTCAATTGCTTTTAATGACAAAATATGAATCTAAATTTATTTTATTCGGTAGACTGTAAGTCTATTATTGTGTTTGTAGATTTTATTTGTTTTTACAAAAAATATAGAATGTAAAAAGAACATGTGCAACTACAGACAGTAACGCTTACTATTTAAAATTTGATCCTTTAAAAATCACATCTACATGTAATTCTAAAATTACGAAAATACTAGATAGCATGCGATAAAGAATGCAAGGAATGATTTGGTTTACATCGAATCGCAACTACTTCTTGCCTCGCATACGCGAAACTACTAAAAAAAGAGCCTACAATTTAAATTACCGGATATTAATACGTTTACTAGACCTATGACATGTCATGGAATCAGGTGGCGTGGTTTCGATTCCCCGCTTGTACGAGACAAGGAGTGGGGTCGCCTGTCCAACCTCGTGGGTTTTCTCCGGGTTGCCCAGTTTCCTCTCACTGCTAAAAAAAGACCTATCAATCAAGTGGATTATTGAAATAAAACTGAACCATGTTAGTCCCGAAATTACCTAGTGTCCCTCTAGTCTCTGAAGTCTCCCCCTACATTACATTAATCGCACATTGATTTGATTTAGCTTAGACAAGTTAGAGGTCATATTATCATAAGATAAAGACGTATAGATCTACTTCTAGGCCTACAGTACTCAATACTCTACATTGGAATATATCATAATATGCAATATAATGCCAATTAAGCCTAACCAATCAAATATGAAAACATCTTTCACCAAATATCATGTACTCTTACAAAATACAATTTTTGATGATATATATTGCTGTTCTTATAATCTATTAGATCTATGTTATTATGGCTCAGTATTTATTATATATTTATACTTTTTTATAGCACTAGGCCTAGCACTCGACGATGACTCGTATCGTAGGCCTACTCGTAGTAGACGACGCGACGTAGACTGAGCTCTTTTTCTTCAGGAATGCTGAATATTTTAAATCCCTCAATAGTCCCTAAAATTAAAACACCCGGCATAGGACCCACTCTGGGTACCATATCCACCACTCGGATGTTTACCTTTTCTTCTGTTCGTATGCGAAACGTCTTCTTTAGCTGTCATGTTTAGTGACATTACAGACAAACCCCAAGATGCAGTGCGCGACCTACTTTTTATGCAAATGAAGCAGTCGCCACTCTGTGTATTTTTACTCTGTGTGAGTATTCTTACCACAGAGTAAAAATACACAGAGTGGCGACTCGCATTACGGCCCATAGTAACACAGCGACGCGCAATGCATCTTAGGAATTGTCTGTAATAAACACACACTGACAGTTCGCTCAACGACGTTACGATATCTATATCGGTGAACTAAATCTCTTTAATTTCGTAGTTTTATAGTATTTTCGGTAACAAAACTACCGAGAATTATCACATACAATCATACGTTAGTTGTGTGTGTTTTTCGGGAATTCATAAAACATGATTCATATTTTTAAAACATGCATAGATAAAGCGTGGTACAGCCCGGAATGAAGTGAGAGACGGCATTTGTGACGGTTTATGAATTGGTCTATAAGGCCGTAAATTATTGTCGATTTTAAAAACTTTAAAACTAATCCACCAGATTCCCAGATTTGAAATGTAATTTCCATACACCTTAAAATGGAGCATTTGAAATGTCAAAGTGACACGCCCTTTTTTGGATAAGGCATATTTTACTCAACATCAACATGATTTACCTTTGTCTTCTAGAGCTTATTACTGTGTGATTTTCTTATTTATGTTATGTTAATAAAGTAAGCTTTCATTAAAATATAAAAAAATAATTTAAGAATATTAAAATCGAATTTCAAATAGGCATATAACGTTTCCCAATAAACAGATTTGAGCCGTTGGTTGTTTTCCAAGATAAAATACCTTTGGCCCCAACGTTGACTCACTGTGTGCTTTTATGTTTTTTGTTCTATTAATTAATGTAGGCTTTCATTTTAAAAAAAAAAAAAATAATAATTAACGATATTAAAATTCTATTTGAAATAGGCCTATAAAATTTTTCAATAAACATTATTTGAGTTGATTGGTTTCTCTTTTTACAAACAAGTATAAACCAAAAACAACTTTAGAATGAATACTTTGCATATTGCTCTGGGTGTCATGTAATGTTTTGACGGACTTTATAGGCCCCCTAACACTATGAAATTATCCATTTTACACTACTACACAAGAATATTTTAAATTATTATAAATCTGAAGTTTGCTCTAGATATCCATGACATTAGGTCTGATCTGTGTTCAGAGTTACTTTTATTTTTGTGATTTTTTTTTGTCAACTGATTATTTAGAAATAGAAAATTTAGTTTATACTGTATACTTATGGAATTATCTGCCATGAAAACTGAAGTTAACCATACAGCATACTATTATTAGATAATGACAGAGTAAATTAAAATTATTTTGAATTACTGAATGGTTTAAAATTAGTGACAGTGCTTCAGTAAATATTTTATTGGTCGGATTAAAGCCTACCAGTAAAAGGGGAAATGTTATTTTGAATAGCATAACAGTATTAGGCTTACTGTATTAAAAGCTTATTGCAACTGAAAAATGAGAAAAATAATATTTTTGTTATGAAATTTGGAAAGGTACATAACATACCATATACTTAACACTTAAATTGTTTACCACAAGTAATTGTAGACCTACATAGAATCACATTTTTCGATACACAAAATATAGAATGTAAAAAGAACATGTGCAACTACAGACTTAATGGGTAAAGCTTACGATTTAAAATTTGATCCTTTAAAGCGGAAATTGCAAATTTTTAAGCTATATTTTTAAAATTTATTAAAATAAAGCCTGAAAATAGATGGTATCCATAAACAGTCCTACCTTGTTAAAGAATAATCCTATTAATCCTATAATTCACTTATTGCCAGCTGAGAAATTGGAAAAAATATCATTT